GCCGAGTGAAGCACCAATCGTTGGCATGTCAATTCTTCCTTGTCAGCTTCTTTAACTGGCAGACTTTTGAAAGGAGTTCCACTGATTGTGTATGACGTCAGCATCAAACACTTTTCTGGGGTCACAGACACCCCGGTTGCACACAAATTCGATCAATATTTCATCAAGTGAGTTGCAACTTAATTGATTGCTTAAGTTTTGGAGGGTTGTTTATTCTCTGACAACAAATACTAGAAATAAAACAACAAATGCGCCTCCGGGAATATCAGTATCTTCGTTTACGTGCTTCTCGTATGGATCGTCCGATGTCTGAGTGCGTTACATTCCCTAGTGCATTGGTTTGCGTGCAACATCCTGTTCATTTCTTTGACATGCTCTGTCAACCCTCTCTTCTGATGTCACCAGACATTGTGGGGGAATTTTTAGCAACAGTTAAAACCACAGAAAAAAAAATATCAGTATGATCAATTATTCATGAGACCGTTGCTGTTTCTGAGCTTGAATACAGTCCACATATCCACTGTGCAACAACTATGCTGTTTAGTCACCTTGTAGTGTAAATTGTGCATGGCTCCATTATAACCTCTGCTTTACGTCTAGCCTCGAATGGAGGAAACTTACATACTTGGCATTTACTATGGCCTTATGTTGGCATTTGTTTGCAGTCTGAGGTGATACTTAGAGATGAAAGGTACTGATTTTGCAACACAGCCAAGTTAATTATATTTCCGCATGAGTGATCGTGAGTGGAGCATCTGATACATGAAGCTGAGCTGCAAGACATTAGCTGATAACCTCAGGACAGACACAGCAATGTCAACACAAGAGCAAAGCGCTTGCTAATCACTGATTCTCATCTATATATCTCACCTATATATTTCTGAATATCTGATGCAATGTTGTCTGTTTCATAAAATATATGTTTAGGAATGTTTCTAGTCACCAAAGTACACAAAAATTAATACATGGATAATATAATATAATATAATATAATATAATATAATATAATATAATTAAAACAACTTTGTGTTAAACTAATTTTATGGTATATGCCTATATATTTACTAAATTTATCCACAAAAAAAAGCAAAAACAAAAAAAAAACAGAGGCATCAGTATCAATACTGGATATACTTGCCCTTGTTAAGTAAAAAAAATATTAAAAAGTAAAAAAAATATTAAAAAATAAAAAATTATTAAAAAGTAAGTTTCTTAGTAAGAAATAAGTAATTAAAAAACATTTTAAATATGCCAACTTTATGTTGTTTACATGTTAATTTGGAGATTCAGTGTGAAAATATAGTTATAATCACAAATTGTCATGTTAGGTGTGATTGTTATTAATTACAGAATAATTATTTTATATTCAATTAATTCTTTTTTTTTCAATGGATTGACAGCACCAATATTTATTTATTTGTTTGGTTGTGTGTGTTTGTTTGTTTGTTTGTTATTTTTCTCAGCAAGGCTGCATTTATTTGAAAAAAAAATACAGTGTACTAATATTTCAAAACATTTCTGTTTTAATTTAAGGGGTCATATGATGCTGCTAAAAATAACATTATTTTGTGTATGTGGTGTAATGAAATGTGTTTATGCGGTTTAAGGTTACAAAAACACATTATTTTCCACATACTGTACATTATTGTTTCTCCTCTATGCCCCGCCTTTCTGAAACGCGTAGATTTTTACAAAGCTCATCGTTCTGAAAAGTGAGGTTTGTATGCCTCAAGCGTGTGACGGAAATGTTACGCCCCTTACCATACTGTGATGCTGTCTCCCGGCACGACCAGACAAATCCAATAAAACCCATTACAAACAAGGCATTTGTTGCATCTAGTGGGGACATAATTACGGATTATAATGACTTATACTGTCTTTTTATGCGCTGCATTTGTGATCTGAGAAATGACAAACAACAAGCGCTACTCTACACTGCTCAAAACTTGTGTTTGAATCATCAATGGCAAATCCTTTAAATTAAAACATATTTACAGACTGTGAGTCAGAACAGCCAGCATTGTAGTCTACTCTACCAGGATCAGGAAACAGTCCTCCATAAAATGCACTGCATACATCTGAATATTTGGGTTGAACTGTTCTGGAACAGTGTTGTAAATACAACTTAAACCACTGATTTCTAGTCGTGTCCTTCCAAAAGAGCCGGCAGCTTGAGTGAGCGGAGACCGGCGGGCTTGCTGCAACCACATGTGACGACCCCGGGCTGGACTCCGCTTTGTCCACGGTGAAAGCCGATCCGGCGATCCACAGCGTGAAGTTGATGTATTTCCTCAGCAACCAGCACGGATCAGCTCTAGGCATGACAAAGCGGATATCGTCCTCTTTTGGAAGGCCAAACAAAGTAGTTTCGCTTTCACAACGAAACACACGGCAACAACAATACTACAGCGAGAATCAAAGTTGTCACATCATGATGTAGACATGTGGGGGCGTGTTAGAACGAGCCATTTTAGGTAGGCGTGGTTGACAACTTTTATAAAGAATATCTCTTTGGATTTGAGACTTTACTCTTTGCAACTTTACAGATTTTCTTTATGTACCAAGAGCTTGTAACACTCCAAAGAGAAAGGAAAATTTGAAACTGCATCATATGACCCCTTTGAAAGTAGCTGATTTCTATTTTAATATATTTTAAAGTGCAATTCATTCCTGTGATGGCAAAGCTGATTTTTCTTTAATCAATTGAATGCATTCTTAATATAATAAATAATATAATATACATTTAAATGCTATTATGTTTATGTAACGTGAGGCCGATGTCAAGTACACAAGCATTTATTGAGAATAATGGTCTATATAATTTCAATGACAAAACCTTTTTAAAACAATCAAACTGTTTGCATTTTGATTGATTGCATCTTGATAGAACATGTTATAATATTTCCCAATGTGAAAGTTTAAGAAAAACAACTTCTAATGTTTCTATTTGCTTTAGCAGGGAGAGTAACTTCAAGGTGAGTGTTCTCTATAGAGCAGGTGTATACTCACCTCTTCAGAGAGGTGTCGTTCTTCAACCCAGACCGTCCAGTAAACAATGCATACTGTAGTCGGCAGCAAACACATAGACAGTCCCGGCCATGGGGATGTAAAAGGCAATATGTTCCAAAAGTCAGCGATGAAGAACGATTATTGTGCTCCGTTTCCATTGGTTGCAGTAGAGAATTGAGTCCTCAAATATGTCCCGGTAGGAAATGGTTGGATAGTCCTTGGAATACAGTGTGAGGAGTGTATGCTCAGGGGAGAAAGTCCAGTAGGGGTTCAGACAAATGATTCCATATTCCTCCCCATAATCAGATGACCTGGCCAGCTCTGGGACGGGTTGAAAACAGAGAGAGAGAGGCCAACGATAAACAAAACACTCTCAAAACCCAAATTAAGTGCAGATGTCTCAGCTGGTAGTGCAGATTTTTTGGAAATACAAACCCGAATAGAAAACAAGTGTATCTGTCACACTACACAGAACTGAGATGAAACAGAGCTGTCATATGCACCAGGCAGGACTACAGAAACTACACCAGTACCAGTGTAAAGAAAAAAATGTTTTGTGTCAGACAACATCCCAGTCTTACACTTTCATCTCAGGGTGCTTTCTTTTTCCATAAAAATAACTTTTTTTAATGGCTGTTTTGAGTAAAGATAAGTTAACAAATAGTGCTGGGCAATGATTAATAGCGATTAATCACATCCAAAATAAAAGTTTTTGTGTACATAATGAATGTGTGTGTACTATGTATATATAAAGACACACACATGCATGTATATATTTAAGACAAATTTTATGTTTATACTGTATATTAAATATATTTATATATAAAATAAATTATATGAATATAAATATATACATGTAAATATATATAAATATTTTCAAAATATATACTGTATGTGTGTGTCTTTATATATACATATATACAGCACACACCCACACACACATATATTATATAAACAAAAATCTTTATTTTGGATGCAATTAATCGCGATTACTCGTTTTACCAGTACTAGTTAAAAATTATCATTTACACAATAAATAAATTACAAAATACATTAAATGAACTGTAAAATTATAGAAAACTTGCAGGCAATATAATATTAATGAAATAATAGAAAACTTAAAACAGAGTACTTGTTTTCTCAATGCGCTTAAAGGGATAGTAACCCAAATATAAAAATTCTGTCATCATTTATTCACCCAAAACCTGCATTAATTTATTTCTTCTGCCAAACGTAAAAGAAGATATTTGGAAAGATACTGGCAAATTAACAGTAGACGGACCCCATTGAAAATCACTGTGGAAGTCAATGGGGACCAGCAACTGTTTAGTTACACACATTCTTCAATATATTGTATTTGTAATAATGTCAAATGGAAAGTAAAAGTAAATGTTTTACCCTCTGGTGATTCTCGCATTATTGATTGACTGATTGATTGATTTCATTTCAATGAAATAAATGTACTTGTTTATTTTTTTATTTAATATTTTGAATTTTTATGGGATTTTATGGTATACAAAAATACTCTTTTAAAATTCTATATGAAATATATATTTTCCAAAACATGTTTTTTCTCTAAAACAACAAGAACATCAAAACCATGAATCATGAAACATGAAACAAGTTGTATTCCGTATTTGAAGTTGATATCTCAAAAAAAAAAAAAAAAAAAAAAAAAAGTTTACTAAGATTTTATTTAAATTAAATTTGCTTCCCATTAGTTTTTTTTTTGTTTTTTTTCCGGTCCATAGAGCACCAATGTTAAATCCTGTTTTAATAATCGTTCATTGTGCTTTTAAAAAGTACAGTTATTTTGATGTGTTGACTAACATACTAAAACAAATGTAAATTAATTGATTATAATTTTTACAATTAAGTTAAATTTGGTTTATAACATTTTTTATATGCTAATTTACAAAAAAATATTACAACTATATTAAATCCCACACAACAGATAACTTCAGAAGAATGAAAAAGAGATATGGTATTACTCTTTAGGGCTGATGGCTGTCTCTTGCGGGACAGTGGAAGGAGTCATCAAATTTTAAAGTCACTCCAATCTCGTTGAACCTTCTTCTCGTCGCTGACCTGCGGGCTTGCCGTGTCTAGGGAAGAAAGAAACAACAGCGGTGAGGGATGGGTTGAACTGTGTTAGTGACAGCACAGAGGGCAGTGTACTGGTGAAGGACAGCAGCCTGTCTGTGGCGGCAGAATGGCTATAACGTGTCACAAAACAGACAAATATGAGATAATGAACAATCAGCTGATAATAAATACAAAATAAACATGATAAGGTGATCATGAAGAAGAGTAATCACAGAATAAACCCTAAATATGATATATTAAAATATCAGTAGTTAATACCGATACTTATGAAATTTAATGTTTACCGCATTTATTCAATAGCTACTTAGCAAATGATAACTAAATAAATAAATAGACCTGACTATTGTGAAAAAAGCAAGGCAAGGCAAGTTTATTCATATAGCACATTTCATACAGAATGGTAATTCAAAGTGCTTTACATAAAATAAATTTAAAAAAAAATAATCACAACAATAAAACAAGGAATTTAAAACTTTGAAAATTATTTAAAAAATGATTTAAGAGGTTTAAAATGAATTTAAAACAGTTAAGAATAGAAAATGATTATACATACAATATAGTGAAATCAGTTCGGACATTGCACAGTGCTCATTCAATAAATGCACAGCTAAACAGATGAGTTTTGAGTCTGCATTTAAATGTGACTAATGTTTTAGCTCATCTGATCTCTTCTGGAAGCTGATTCCAAATGCGGACGCCATAATAACTAAAAGCGGACTCCCCTTCTTTTGTGTGAACCTTTGGCATTTCTAACTGACTCGATCCTAATGATCTGAGTGGTCTGTTAGGTTTATAATCAGTGAATAGATCTGCTATGTATTTAGGTCCTAGGCCATTGGGTAATTTATAAACGAGTAAAAGTACTTTAAAAATCAATCCTAAATATAACTGGAAGCCAGTGTAAGGACCTGAGGACTGGTCAACCAAGTTTTCCAGTCTCTCTAGTAGTATGTTATGATCGACAGTGTCAAACGCAGCACTGAGATCTAGTAGTACCAGCACTGATATTTTGCCAGAATCAGAATTTAAGCGAATATCACTTATTATCTCAATGAGCGCTGTCTCTGTGCTGGGATGTGGTCGGAACCAGACTGAAAATTGTCCAGGTATCCATTTGAGTGACATAGTATCTTCTTTTTGATATTGTGGTCGAATATGTCTAACCTCTGCATAACTTGGGGATGTGCTAATCGCCTTCCTGATATTATTGATCTTCTCAGAAATGAAGGAAGCAAACTCATTGCATTTGCTGTCGGAGAGCATTTCACTGGCAATCTGATTTGGGGGGTTTGTCAGTCTCTCAACAGTAGCAAAAAGAGTGCGAGTGTTGTTTAAGTTACTGTTTATAAGGTTGGAGAAGAATGACTGTCTAGCTTTGCCTAGTTCCACATTGAAAGCACGAAGGCTGTCTTTATAGATGCTATAGTGAACTTCAAGTTTCGTCTTCCACCACATCCGCTCAGTTTTTCTGCATTGTCTTTTCATACTCTGAACTGCTGTTGATTTTCTCCAAGCTGATTTCTGTCTGCGAGACTTCTTACTGACCTTTACAGGAGCAATATCATCAATAACATTCTTAACTTTTGAGTTAAAGGAATCAAGGAAAAGATCAACAGAGTCTGCAGAAATGCTTGGTGTTAAAGATATAGCCTCCATAAATAGCACACTGGTGATTTTGTTAATGCATCTCTTTCTGACAGAGACAGATCTAGATTCGGTGGTAGCAGAGATCAATATATCAAAGAAAATACAGAAGTGATCAGATAGTGCTACG